CCAAATGCGCTAGGTCTTATTTTCAGGGGATGTCGTATTTTTTCTTGATGAAGGATACGGTACACATTTATTGTTTATTGTTTTATTAAAAGAGACCTCACACTTCCTGTCTGCTCCGGCTGCGCTGGGGCCAACAGTGAGCTGCGCAGCAGCACCCACCACTCCAGTCCAGAGTCTGGAGTTACGGTAGCTTCCGGGGGCCTTATTTTCGGGGGGATGCCTTATATTCAGCGAGAGGCAAAACTGTAAGTAGGTCTTGTTTTCGGGGGATGTCTTACTTTCGGGGAAACAGGGTTATAGTAACACTCAGGTGACTACCTGCTCTCTGTTGCAGTTGGTCCTCCTACTCCCATGCATACCTCAACAGTGCTCTTTTATTATTGAGGGTGGGGCGAGGGAGAGATAAAATGTTTTTTATTCCTCAAAGTTTATTTCCTTTGCATTTTTATGCATGAGGCTCAAAGACTCTGCTTCAGTTCTCTTACCTTCCCAACTTCCAATCACAAATCCTATTGCATGTTCCCTTTCTGTGCCTTCCTTTGGAAAAGACAATCACTGCTCTGCAGGGGCAGTTCTACCCTGTCACATAGGGGAGGGTCACTGCGTCAGAATTGACTAGAAGCTGTGTGTGAACTCTTCTCCCAGGTGAGTTCTAGGAAATGGCATTGTCAAGTGAATTAACCAACCCATTAGACCTTCTGTTACTGACCTGGCACTTCATGCCTGCTTTTATTTAATCGCAGGTGCAATACATTCTGATCTTTACGATGACTTGTAACGGTAAATAGTATCCCTTCTTGAGAGATCAAGAAACGTACCTGGAATGCCACCCAGCTAGTACTGACCAAGGCTGGACTTAAGTACTCCTTAACTCCAGTCCTGTTGGAGCACTGACAGGGCTAGTGGTTATGCACACCTTAGCCATCCATCTGCCAGGTCAACAGTTCAAAACCATCAGCTGCTGCTCAGGAGAAAGACAGGGCTTTCTACTCCTGTTCATAGTAGCAGGGAACTCATAGGGACATTGCTCCCCAGTGCTTTAGGGTTTCTGTGCGTTGACATCGAGTCCATGGCAGTGAGCTGGAGGCGGTGAGTGTTAGCCCCATTCCAAAGCCGAATGAATTCCACTCTTCGACTTCCCTGGTGTATAAAAGCAGCTCCAGATCTCTAGCATTGTGATGTGCATGTGTGCGTAACTGCATATGTGTGTGTAACTATCTGTATAACGATATATATAAAACAAACTTTTTTGTGAATTGGGTGGAAGTGCACTGAGTAGATAGGTTTCCATTCAACATGTCCTCCAAATGTTGGTTGATCTCCTTCATTGAAATCCCCGCAATGTAGCATCCCTTATCCCACTTCTCGTGTTTCCTGGGTGTATTCCCCCTCTATCCTAACCCTTCTAAACTTTGTCCTTGGGGACATGCTGCCCTTTTGATCTTAACTGGTTGATGACTATTCTGAGGTCCATGAATCTCATCAGTGCTGTTGTTCCCCCTACAAACCTACCTATTCTTTGACGAAAGGTGGAGCCATGGGGGTGAGTCCATTTCCTGACAGGAAGGGTGACTCAGGGCCATAGACTCAGCAGTTCCACCGGTCTCGCATGGCCAGCAGGCCGCTCTCTTTATGTCTGTGCTTTAAAGCTTACGTGATTCAGTTCTCTCGGTTTGGAAGGAGGGCTGTGGAGGTCCAGAGAAGTCAACTTCAAAACATAACGCAGGTCGTGATCAAACTGGCACTAGATATCCTGTGTATTCTCAGCCTTGTCCTTATTCATGTGTGTCTGCAAGGACCGTACAGACTTCCTTCTTGAACGTTCAAGGGCAAGGTTTTCTGTAAATGTAAAAATAGATGTGTCAGCATCATGAGTGTACTGTGCATAAACAGGTAAAAGGTAATTCTAAAGAGATGAGACAGGGCTGCTTGTTTGGATAAAAGAATCTCAGCTTTATTTTTCTCTTTTGAGCAGTGAGCTGGGGTGAACTATTTGGTTTCTGTCAGTAGAAGCAACTATGGTTTCAAAATGACATTTTAAGCTTTTATTTTTGCTTGAGTTAAAAGATGTTTGAAAAGGAGTTAAAATTTGTTAAAAATCCCCCAGACTTAGGAGTGTGGGACTATTGCTTTGAGTTTATGGCTTATAATCATAGTTTCTACCAGTTATAGGAATTTCTTCCTGTAACGGAAGAAGCCATGTGTCAGCTCAGAAATGTAGCTGCCTTTTCTTAATCATATGTTGTCATATTTTTCAAATAAGTAACTATAACCTTATACATTTCATGCTTAAGAAATGGATTCATATGTTCTGGAAGTTGAAGAAAACAAATGCACAAAACCGTGATTCATTTCTAAAGTTGGCTCAGTTTAATAATTATCATTAGGATCTGATAGATAGTGAACTTAACTTATTTATGCATGAGTTTTTGACCCTCCCATAACAAAATACAAAATGTAATATAACATCATAACATAACATTAGCCGAAAGGACCGCAGTTCTTATTATCAGAGGCTCTTGGGGGAAAGATGTAGCATTCTGCATCGGCAAAGATGGCAGCCTTGGAAAACTGCTGGGGCACTTCTACTCTGTCCTGCCGGCTTGCTATGAGTCAGCGTTGACTTCGTGGGATTGGGTTTGGTACACTATATTGCCCCTCCTCTCCCTCCGCTCCCATCTCTCGCTCGCTCACAGTGGTTAAGTAGTCAGCTGCTAACAAAAAGGTCAGTGGCTCGGACCCACCAACCCTTGAGACAAGACGTGATCCACTCCTGTAAAGATGGTCGCTAGGGAACCGATGGGGTAGTCTGACTGTTATCTGGGTTCACTGCTGGGAATCTACCCAACAGCACAGTACCCGACAGTAACAACGGAGATTGTCTTTTTCATTAAATTCAAACGACGTTATTGGAATTTATTCATTCAAAGGATTAAATTATATTCAAACGCCGTCAAGAGAGGTCCTTCTTTCTTTAAGCTCTCTGCTAAGTGTATCGACCAAGTGTTTTTGTCTTTAAAGATGGCTTGTTCCACTCATCTCCACATTCTGGAGATCCAGCCTGTTTTCATCTGATGCAGATACTCCTTCCCTGGGGAGCGGAAGGCCTCAGACTGGACTCCTGGCTGTTAGCCTTGAGCTCTCCAGGTGCAGTGTTTTCTCGATGGGCCACTCCAACCTCTGAAGTTCTCTCTGATTTTCCAAGTCCATCGTAAATGTTGCTCCCTAAGGAAACATCTCTTTAATAGGAGTCTTTTTCACAGCACTTGTGGGAGACTTTTGGGGTGACTTTGTTTAC